GAGGCGCTGCAAGGACTGCTTCTTTGTGCGCCGGCGGGGCCGGCTCTACGTGGTCTGCAAGACCAACCCCCGGCACAAGCAGCGGAAGATGTAGCCGCGCGCTTGCCCTGCTGGGCGGTTCACCTCGGGTGCCTGGAGGTGTCTCCACAGACAGAGCTGCTGTGAGGCTCTCGGAAGGAAAAACAATAAACCCAGTCTTTGCGTCTTTTTGTGTGTAAGCCTGTGACTCCTGGTTCCGACGTCTGTGTAACTGCACTAGTTCCCTTATCGCTGGCAACTGGCTGGCTTCTTACGCCTGACTGCTGGGGACCCCAACCAGAAAATGGCGTAGGTGACAATTCTGGCACTGAACTCTCAGATCGTCTAAGTTAAGTGCTTCTCTTGAGGGTGATTGCCATAACTTCACTTCAAACCATGGAAGCTCAGCACTGAAATGAAAAGCCTCAACTTCTGGGACATCACTTACACAAACAGTCCACTCATTGCTGAGTCTGAAGAGTTAACTTCACTCTTACTGGCTCGGAAATGCATTTGTACTTGATTAAAGCAAACTGAAAATTAATACACTTGATGGTGCATTATTACAATGTACTATAAGTCTTTCTTAAAAAAAACTTTCATATTGAAAGCTCTACAATACAGAACCAGTAGTGTCAAACTCAGGTGGGGATTTAAGTGGCAGATACTCAAATATTATATTGCACTGAAATACAGTGTTCTAGCTTTTGGCTTGGTTCATGGGTGAGGTAAAAAAAAATAACTAATGAGTTACAGCAGGCATAGCCTCATATAACTTCAGTAATGCCAATATAAATAAATCTTGCTACTTATTTTTGTCGGTTTTGAGGGGTGGTGGGGGGGGTATTTTAATTACTGTAAAGGAACGTGAGGCCTTAATCTACAATTCTTTAGGTTTTAGTATGTAAAGCTATGATTTAATGATTAATTGCCTATTCAGGTAGATTCTGAAGTGTTCTTAGCCTCTGCCTTTTGCTGAGAGGTTGCCCTTGATGGTCCTGATGTACTTGCTGTTCTACCAGTAAGAGTTTCCAGAACCCTAACGCCAACAAAAACACAGTGACTAGAAATGGTTGCCTTTTGGATGGAGTTTTTTTTAACTGTTTTTGTAGTCACATCAGGCTGATATCTGTGAAACCTAGCCTAATCCCGCTCAGCAACAGGGAGTGAAATTTAGGGATAGGATTACTGCACAGAACAAAGGCACGCAGCTTAGTATGTTTTCATTTCCCCCTTTAGCTCAAGACTTAAGTTCAAGCGTTTACACTCTACGGAAGTTCAGGATTTAAATGAGGCTGGCTTCAACATCTTATAATTAAGAAAGACTTGTTCTATGATTGAAGCCATTGAATTTAGCATTGCCAAGGTCACAAACTTGATTTAAAGTCATTTGAATTCAGATGTTTGACGCGGCTGTAAATTATTTATCAGTCATCATCTGAATGGTCAGTTTTATACCTGGGGTGGAGTTTTCAGATAAAGTAATGTTCACAGCCATTATGGAAAATGGATATTTGGTAGTTTTGGCAGAATGTTGAAAGAGGATTATAGGACTGATATAGGATTGATATAGAAGGCTTGACTTGTAAAATTATATTTGTACTCTGTCATAGACTTGAAAAATCAGTAATATAAAAATATAAATCAAGTATAATCTTGAAAAAGTAATTTTGCCTTTGCTTCTATTTCTCCTTCTGTTAAATGGGAGTACCGAATCTCACTCGTCTTTCCAAGTACCTTTTTATAATTAATGTCTGCAACTTGTTAAAAAAGTGTTTTGAACAAATCAGATTCTGTAGCTTTCTCTAATTTGGGTGATATCATGAATGTGACTACAGCTGGCGGACGTGCATGTTTATTTTAGGCTTATTTACAATGCCTATAAAATGAGGAGGTGAAATAGTGTGGGGCAGTAGCCTAGTTGTTGGTAGATCAGGGTTTACATCCTTTGTCACAGACTTTCTAAATGTTGTGTTACTTAAACAGCTTTTTTCAAAGGATAGGGTACATAACTGCTACTTAAGGTACTCAAGCCAAAAATTTAGTCTTAGAATACTAAAAATACCAATCTGTATGAATTCCATACTTCTTGTTTGTATGGAGTTTTTCTGTTACTTCTCCCTCCTCCACAACACGGGGGCAGAAGATGGAGGGAATTGATAAGGAGAGCACAGTGAGAATGGTGATGGCTTAGGGAGAAAATAGGACCAAATGGCATAGGAATAGCACAGGAATAAGAATCATTGCACTAAAACTGAAATACGACTCATATTCCAATTACATTTTCAACCTCTAGTTTCCTGCTGGTTTTGTGTCTGGGTTACTCCTTCCAGCAGTTCTTCACCCGTTCTCAAATCCCCATGAGGAGGTAGCAGTGTGACCACTCGTGTCCCCTGTGACGGTCTCCATTATACGGTTATAAAAATAATATGCAGTTGTGATTGACTGAACTTGCTTAATTCCTCAAAACCGTTCTAGGAAGTGAGATTGTCTTTCATATTCCTGATATGCAACAGGTGGTTATGTATTTAGGTCAGTTGGAGGAGGAATCTTGGAGCTCATGTATATTAATGAATGTCAGACTTTGTCTCGGGCTGTGTGTATGGGAATTACTGCATTGGTTGCTGAATTGAGGACAACAGCTCTTTAATAATGACAGGTGAGGGAGAAATCTTTCTGAACTGTACTACTTGGGGAACTGTGTCAGCTTGGATCAAGGAGGTATACTGAGCTTAGCTGACTGACAGGTGACTTTTCCAGATTCTGACACCACCAGAGCCAGTTTCCCAGACCTCGCTAAAATAATAGCTTTTTTTTTTTTTCCCCTGGAAACATCTTGTTGCTTTTCGTATTATTTTATCATGCTGCATAGCTAAGCAGAAAGATAAAAATAAGCACAGAGGAGAGCACATCATAAGAGCAATTGCTGATGCCTTTGTGAAAAATTAACAATTGGAAATTTCATTTGTGCAGAGATGAAATAGATTAATTTTCCATCCTTAATATCAGTAAGTCTATGACTGTTCATGGGAAAATTAAAAGTTGGAAGAATTGTTTAACAAAGAAGGTAAAACAAACTAAAAAAAATGAAACAGCAAACCCCATCAAATACTGTTAAACAAGGGGGAAAAGAAGTAAGAAGCAAACTTCTTTCTGATGTTTAACAATGCAAGAGAGCTCAATAGTGCTGTTGCAGGCACCATTTGGAATGTCTTCTGTGCAGTTCCAGGGTCTTTCTGTGGGTTTCAGTGAGCTTCATACATTTGGTGCAAGACAACTTTCATCGCCAAAGGTAGTTCAGATACAGCTGCGGTGTCATCACATCCTAATGTTCTGAATCAACAAGGGTAGATACACCTTTGCATATACTGATGACAACTATCAAATGACTTTTAAGGCACAAGTTAAGGATACAGTAGTCCCATTCACTTTAATATTAAAGACTGATTATCCATGTAAATACTTGTATTCCTTCCATCAGAGTTCATCAGATTATTAAATTAGAGCTTAGAATCTGTACCAGTGACTTAAGCCAGAGTGGGCTGAGTGTGATGGTCCCTGAGCTTGAGATAGAGCTGGATTTTCTCACAAGCCGGGATGGCTTACCTCACCACACTTGTACTGGGTCATGTCTTATCTGTCCACTCTCCTCTGCTCTCCAGGTCAGGGCTTTTTTTCCTATAAGAACAGGATTTTTAAAAACTGTATTGAAGTATCAACCTTAATAACACAGAAAACTCAGGTTAAATGCTCCTGAATTTTACACTCACCAATCCTGCACCACTTCACCTGATGATCACATTGTTGCTACAGCTTTGCATTAGGAGCTCATGTGTGTTTTCAGTTTTCTACAACCGGTAAGTGCTTTACACATGCATCCCAAGCAACCCACCCTTCTGCTGGTGTAGCTGCAATTTCTGATTGCTAGTTGTACAACTTTGTGCTTGAATGTAACAATTTTTTTTTTTCACCCAGGACTAGTGTGTTGAGCAGCATAAAACATTCTCTGTCTTTCCTATCATTATTATCCCTTTGTTAATTTTTGTATTTTCCTGAATTTATCTGCGCTTGATGTATTTCACTCCTAGTTCACTAATAAAAACAGTATCGTTAGTCCTAATACCTCTGGAACCACAATGCAAAATGCTCCAATTTCATGTTGGTTCTCCGTTAGCAGTTTTGTTTTGACATCTGTCATTTAAGCAGTTCTCAATTCATCCATATATATCAGTGGAGGTTTTTTAGACTTTTGGGATGTAAGTCATCTCCTGAGTCAACTTGAATCACTGGTTTTGTTCTTGCATCTTGTTCCCTTGGTCGTCCACACCACATGCAAGAGGGACGGCTTCTGGTATCCTTTCATTCCCTAGCCAAAACCTAGAAGCAGGTAAGTGGCTAGACTGCTCCAGCCTGTTCTGATATGTAGTATGGTTGGGACCGTGCTGGATCTCGCTCCTGCAGCCTGGACCAGCTGCTGTCACCCAGGTTACGTACACACAGGTCCCTGCATACATACTAGCTGTTGTCTGTTATCAGGCAGTATGGATAAATAAGGCTACTGAAAAACTTATCAAAAACTTGGGTTATTTTTCTTAGAAACAGCAAATAAGAGTGAAGGATGTTTTACTGCTTTTTTTTTTTTAGTCTTCTAAATTTAGAAATGTATAAGGGGGCATGCTTTCACAAGGAAAACCAATGTGTCTTTGAAATGTTAGCCAGTATGTGTCCAATTCCTAGTGAAGGCAAGAGAAGTGTACTTCCAACACTTGCTAGCTGGGTTGGAAAAAACTCCAGGCTTGTTTTAGTCACCCAGCTTATATAACCATAAAATTGCCCTTCTTACATGGGCATTTTTATATCCTTTAAGTAATATTTATGACATGTTAAAAAAAAAAAGACTTTATTACCTATCAGAAATACGCATGAATTTGGATACTGCAATATTTAATAGTAGAAAAGAAATACGGCATAGTGATTAAGATTTTGGAATTTCAGTGATGTGGTAAAAGCCCACTCTAAACCCCGCTTATGTAAGCGGGAAGCCTGAATGGCTTCAACAGGCGTCCGTGGAAGCGTAAGAGGCGACGCACACGTCCTCCGCAGAGCAGCGCGCTGCCGGAGCTCCTGCCCCGCCACAGGGGACGAGGTGGATGGGAGCTGTGAAACCTGCCCAGTCATTCCTGCCTGCACAAAACAGCTGATCTCAGGGAGGGGGAGACCCGCAAAGGCAGCTAAGATGCATTTGTAATACAAATTCGAGGGAAGAGAGTTTCCTTCCCAAAAGTCTTCCTATTCTCAGCTCCGAATAGTAGGCGATCCTGCCAAATTTATATAAAAAGTAGGTGCCGTATAAAGACAAATTTTATTTTTTGTAGGAAATTTAATGCACTCCTCTTAAACAGTCTATTTTTAGTGATATCTTAAGAATTTTTGTGCATGTTTGTATATATGAAAGATTTGACCGGAATCACCAATCTTCTTTTTTTTTTTAATAAACCAGCATAAAGTAGAATTTATTTACATAATGCAATGATCCATGAAGGTTACCATAACATCAAGGGACCATATTAACCGCTTGAATGGAATTCATTAGAAATTAACTACCACTTAAATTAATTTTCCCACATTCACAAGGCTGTAATGGTGGAAAAAGGAACCGTCCATCAGCATGTCCTGACAGGAGAGCTGTCACTGCTTTTATTTATAGGTGAATACATTAACCCATGCAGCAGCCTTTTCAAACCAAATCTTGAGCTTCTGTACAAATAAGCTCCTTCAAAAGACTTTTCTTTTAATAAGTAATCCAGCCTCAGTTAAACAGCAATGCACACTGCATAACACTTTTTCCACTGGCTGCATAACACAGCCTTGATCATTTCTTTTTTTTGTTAAGAACAACAGAAAAAATTGCCCCTAAAAAATCCAAACTTCACACTATATGCACTTTATTTTCAAGGGTTAGTATTGTTGATTAGATTTAGTTAGTAATAGTGATTGCTTTATTGCTCTTAGTTTAACTATACAAACACAAGATTTTCTATGGACTTTTCTACTCTTTCATTTTGTTACATTATTTGAATTTTTTTAACTGTCTTACAATTGAGTATATGTGCGAGTCTCTGAACGGTAGGATGAAACCCAACGGGACTTGTCTCCTTTGTGATTTAGGACCTTTTGGCAAATTTGCAGTAATTCATATGAATTTAAGCTAAGGAGGGAAGGAAATTTGTAGCACCTATTAGACGACCGTAGTTGTCACAGACTAATATAGTGTTAGAAGATGGTGTCTTTATCTATATAACCTTGTACCTGAAACACTTTTAGGATAATTTCCTGTACAGTTTACTCAAATAACTTTGCTCATGACCTAAGAGCTGGCACTTACCAACTAATAATATTTTTTATTTTCTTTTTAAAGGAAAAAGTTCAGTAAGAAAATGATAAGGTTGTCAGCTTTTAAAAAACACCTCCTATCTATCCCCAATAATATTGCAATAACTAACTCTAATCAAATTTATATTTTTTTCAGTCAGATGCTACCATATCGAATAAACAGTAGTGACACAACAATACTAAATGTGGCTGTATGCCAGCAACATTGCTCACTGAAGTGTCGCATTGCTGTCAAGAAACAGCAGATGTGAACGTCATAGTGAATCTAATAGTGTTTTGACCACTTTCTGTTATGCTCCTCAACGGTTTCTATACCAGTGTCAAGAGAAGCTTCCCAGCACAGTTTCTCATATGAGGAATTAGGAGGGTGGGTGGCCTTCCCGTGTTACAGTGGGCTTTGCTGTGAGTTTGTTGCTATGCTCAGACACTTGGCAGGCACAGCAAATAAATATATGAGCTTTTTCTGGGGTACCCACAAATCCCTATATTCGAGGAGACTAAAGGCTGTCCTGTTACTCCAGTGATAAAATTGCACGTTGTTATCTTTTCTGTTGCCCTCTCTGAACATAATCTTTACAACAGCTTCTCAGAAATAGAGAGATGCTCAGAGCTAAAAGTATAAAAATAAACTCAGGAGGTGAAAAGAAAATACTTTGAAAAAAATTCCCCCAATAACATATGTTGTTTTCCATTTCAGTTATTACTGAAATATGGCCCAGCTTTGCTGCTCAATTGAATTAAAAGCTTGCTATGAATATTGCCTAAAAAGATGATAGCTGCAGTTGCAGTCAGTCTCAGCCTGATGTCACATATCTTAGCAAAGAGTTTGTTCATGTTCATTTTTCTTATCTTCGGTAGTTACATTTCTATTCGTTAAATGACAATCCATAAATACGTCTACCAATGGCTTATGATGCTATTCGACTGCGATACATGCAAGTGGTGTTTCTAATGTTCTCAGGAAAGCACTCTCCTGCAAAAGTAGCAACTGTCACCAGTATAACATGAGATGAGTTTAATATTTAATGGTTTTAGAAGATTTTAAAATCCTTACAACCGCTATTTTGTCTAATTCTTCCACATTATATATGGCACTGCCTTTTAGTTTGTCTGATTTGTACACTAATGTACACATATAATGTATTATAATGTGAATGAGTCGGACAAACTAGAAAACTATGTCATCCTACTTAGTTCTCCACAGGGACTACAGTTAATTTGGTTAATTGATACAATATTGACTAAGCAATGATGCTCACTTCAGTCAACATTTTTACATTTGTTACATTCCCTTGCCTGATTCTGCTTTTCTGCTTTATTTCCTTTTAAAATTTAAACATCCTTAAAAAAAAATCTCTTCTCAATTAATGCATTTCATGATTGAGGAACACTGAAATTAACTTTTAGCCAATTAAATTTTTACGAGTATTTGCTATTGTCGACAGTAGTAAAAACTTCTGTTTCAGCCACATCGATAATTAATTTAGAAGCACATGCCTGAAATACTTCCCCACATGCGAAGGCGCTGTTATTGTCCCACAGCTTCCCTCACAGTCATCCTGGTGACTCCCTTGGCACTGGTACGCCATTATTTTGTTGGCAGCATTTTGATTTCTGCATGCTTATGATTAACCTGTACAATGTGTTCCTCTTAATGCAAAGCTGTTTTCTTACCCCTTCAATTCTACAAACTGGAGAAAGCATATAGCCGCAGGCCACACAGAATAATACCAGTGTCAAGCTTTAAAAAACATATTTGTTTTGTGTCCTCTAAGGACAAATGATAGACATGTAAAAATGTTTTCTCTGTTTCTCTTTCAGGGAATAGTTACTTTAGAATTAACTTCTGTCACAGAAAACATAATTTGAAGCATCTACTATATATTATTTCTGAGCATTTCTGCATTTAAAGAGGGAAAATAGTACATTGTGTAAGACATGCGTGATTACAAGGTTATAGAATCTCTTTATGTTTCTCTTGTTGTTTTGGTGTCCTCTTAAGAAAAACATGTCACTGGAAACAGAAGAGCATCCTTCCTTCAAAAGTTGCAGGTATGTGATGCTATCAAACAGTACAGCATAATGAATGTAATTTGTAATTGGTTTATAATACTTTAAATTCCTACATCTCTAAAGCACTCAATAATCTTCATGCATTCCAGTCATGTATCACTTTTGAAATATGTCAGAGGACAGAAGAGATTTTTTTTGATACACCTTTGGGTTCTGATGATTATACGTGCTGTAACCTGTTTCTTCATAAATGCTTTCCATCTTTAATTTTGTCCTCTTCAAGATACAATCACCCTAGTGTCCTTCTATTCATAAAGATTGTTCTTTAACATACTTTCTCTGTCTTACCTATTTGTTAATTCTGTTTCTCTGTGATATCAAGCATACTTCATTTCATGCTTCATTGTCCAGGTTTTAGTTTCAGCTCCAGTATATTAAATGTTCCTCCTCTTTTGCTCCATATTTTATAGTCGACAATACACAAGCATTAAAAGCCTTTCTTGGGCAAAGAGAAAGACTTGTGTTCTTAATGTGGAATTCTCTTCCTTCAGAAACTCGATTGACTTGAAATTTTATGACTGTAGAAGAAAAATAAAACTCATTTGAGGCAAAAAGTATCTGGACAACACTTATCTGAAGTTCAAATATGAGCAATTATCTTTCTTCCCTCCCAAATTCCCACCTCTTCCCCTTGAAATAAAGAAAAAAAATCTATATATTAAAATGGAAAAAAGATAAAAGGAACATCTGTATAATTTTTTTTTAAGTCTACATGTTGTTAGGAATTTTATAGACCCTTGTTTTTGATACCAAAATGTTCTACTTCATCACATTGAATCACTGTTGTTTGAAATCTTCAGTTTCCTGCCTGAGTTGTTCATAATGGATCTGACCACAGAAGAAGAATTCCAGAAACTGAGGAAGTCCTGACAGAAGAAGGCCACCTCAGAAAGGTCTCTCAGAAACCCCGAGGTGAATGTAGAAGAGCTGCTGGTTATATCAGAGTCCTTGGAGACTGAAGAGATGCTCATATAAATAGTCATGGTGCACCCTATCAGTAGCTTTCTTTTGATCAAAGGATAGAAGGTGAAATGACAAATGATCCTGATATGTCAATTAATGAAGACCCTGGAGAGAGCACAGATCATCATAATAGTTGTGGTCCATGAAAGTACAGGTCTGAATGGATCACGTTCCCCACACATCTCGTTCTCTGTGCTGTAGTGAAATGGCTTCTCTATGATCTTACACATCATGTTGAGAAGTAACATGTAGCACCTGATTGGCTCATGAAGCTGACTTTCTTCAACAGCAGAGTGAGCACAGCCCACCTCCCTGAGAGAAGGAGCATACAGCTCCCCCAGGACCTGGCCAGGAAGGTGACATAGCCTGGTGGGATAAAAATCCACACTTAGTGCCCAGAGGTTTACTAGTGGGCACCCAACAGAGCACCTGCAAGGATTTGGCCTGAGAGGGAGTAGTCCCTTCAGTTAACCCTGGTCACACTGAGGCATTAGGGACCCAAGAAAGGGTAGTGAGAGAGTTCTTCAAAGTCTCCTGTTCAGAGGACTCCATCAGGGGAACGAGGGGTATGGCTTGGCTGACTGGACCTGGTGGATCTTGTTGAGGTGTGCGCTGGTATGTCTCCCAAGTCCAGGACGCAACACAGGATACACACAGGAACTTGTGTCTGTTTTGCCCCCTCTGCCCGCTATGTAGCATCTTTTTTCTCTAGAACAATTAATCTGTCCTCAACTTTCACCCTTAAGTTGCAAAGTGTTCCACAAAGTTTCTGCCCAGAGTAGAACTGCAAGAAATTTCCGAATGCAGCTGACATAGATATCTTTCAATCAAATGTAAAAGAATAACAATACCTATTGAAATATTGCCTGAGCCTTGGCTTTGACTAGGTTTTTCAGAATGCACTGAACAACAGTGAAAGAGTAAAAATAGTTAACCAAAGAAAGAAATTTCAAGAATCCCAACATGTACGAATAACTTCAAAATAAGGAGAAGGAGATATCAGTAAGCATCAGAAGCGAAGCTAAAAATATCAACATTAAAACTTAAAACAGAATAATTTTAGTGCAGTAACGTGAAAAAGCAAGACAACTAGCAATCTAGATCTTAGTTGTCAGTTGAAATGCTTTAAATCAGACTGTAGAAAACATAGATGTTATCTTTATTTTGCCTTTTAGACTGATTGCTTCAGAATTAAAAGAAGATATTATCTTACTGATGGTTGCAGGATAGAGCAGAAAGAAGCACACATGTTCTCCCTGACCATGATCCCATAATAGTAATTAAAAAAATGAAGAGGAAAGATTTTTCTGTCTATAATAGTTGGCCTCATTAACATATCAGCTACTCCTTCTTTGATTTAATGCAATATCAAACAGGTTGTGCTCCCACTTACAGTTATTAGGGTTGAAGTGCTGATTGCTGTGTATTCTAGGTCTCCAGCTTTTCTCTTGCACTGTCATGAGGAACACTCACTCACAAGTGGCTTTCTTATTGTTCAGCAATCCCTTTTGAATGCTTATGAAAATCTGATATATTTGTCAATGAACAAAGCTGGTTTCTGGGCAAGTTCAAAAATTTATATATTTATTTATGTATATATGCACGTGTGTGTGTGTATATACACATATATATGTATGTATATTTATATACACTTTTAAAAATTCCTAGGTCAAATTTTCTGTATACAATATATTGAGAAGCTGCATTAGGCAGAGTGTTGCCAGCAGACTGAGGGAGGTGATCCTGCCCCTCTTCTCAGCCCTGGGGAGGCCTCACCTGGAGTACTGTGTCCAATTCTGGGCTCCCCAGTACAAGAGAGACATGGCACTCCTGGAGAGAGTCCAGCAGAGGGCTACAAAGATGATGAGGGGACTGGAGCATCTCTGCTGTGAAGGAAGGCTGCGAGAGCTGGGCCTGCTCAGCCTGGAGAAGAGAAAACTGAGAGGGGATCTGATCAATGTGTATAGGTATCTGAAGGGAAGGTGTCAAGAGGATGGGGCTAGGCTTTTCTCCGTGGTGCCTGGGGACAGGACGAGAGGCAACGGGCACAAACTGAACCACAGGAAGTTTCATCTGAACATAAGAAAAAACTTTTACTGTGAGGGTGACAGAGCACTGGAACAGGTTGCCCAGAGAGGTGGTGGAGTCTCCTTCCTTGGAGACAGATATTCAAAACCCAGCTGGACACAACCCTGAGTAGGCTGCTCTAGCTGTCCCTGCTTGAGCGGGGGGGTTGGACGAGGTGTTGTCCAGAGGTCCCTTCCAACCCCCACTCTTCCGTGACTCTGTGAATTTATAGAAAGCAGACTGCAGATGACCAGACTTTAGAACCCTAAAGTATCTTGAGTCCTAATTCAAGTGTCTGAATACATTCGCAGAAGTTTTTGTGAAAGTGCTTGGGTGGTGTTTTGGTTTTCCTTTTATGTGATTGCAGTATGGCAATTAGTAATTTCAGAGAATAAACAAGATGACAACTGCTTAGCAGCAGAAGGCAGAATGAAAGAATTCATCACTACTAGCATACTCCCACTCCCATAGTTCCATTCACATTATCAGTCCTATGCCATAACTGGAAGTTAAAGCAGCAGCTTTTTTTTACGTAGCATAAAGGTATACAAATAACAAGCATTAAATAAGAAACATTGCACCACATCAAGATTAACAAAAGTAATAATGCAGACCACGGTAGCACTCAAATCTTTTCAACCGCGAATAATCTTCCATCCTGACAAGGAAGAGCAAGACACCTAATCCTCCAGCATGTTCGTGACAGAAGAATTGCCACTCCTTCCCTGTTAATCATTATCTGAGACAGTTCCCTTATGCTTGAAAATATTATCCCACAGCCCTCTGCCAACTAAGGTTCCCCTTGTACAGAGAAGAGCCTGCTATAGGGCTCTTAACTTTGTTCCAAGTGATAACCCTTGCATTTCAAATCTAGCATCTTGTAGTTGTCCAAGCACAAATGCTCCTTAAAAGGCTATCAGGTGCTCTTGTCCCAGTATCTTAAAGAAAAAATATATCTAAATATTTGTGAAGTTTTCTACAATTTAAAACCAATGTGTATTTGCAGATTTTGTAAACATGCTCTAGCAGAGCTTGCTGTTTTACTATAGTATGAAGATTAATGACCCTTAAGAGGAGTCCTGCAGATTTAATTTGTATTCTCTGTGCTATGTTTTTGCACTTTCAGAGAGAAGTGCTGAACTTCTGAACCACTTTGTCAGCCCTGTTAATTTGACAGTGATTTACATCTCTTTCGATTCATTCTGGAATATCTTCACACTTAGCTATTCCACCCAAAAGGTGAAACCCTGGACGCATTGCTGTGACTAGGGTTTCACCCCAAGGGAAAAATATTCCCCTGAAACACTCTCTGATGATGTTTGGGAGCACAACCTCTCAGTATACCTGGCTGTGTAAATGACCTTTACTAGAAGCACCCATTATGTCCGAGTTTGTATATCAGAAGTCATAGGCAGTGTGTATTGTTTCCATTTCTCACTCAGAGCCTAGATCTCTAAAATCTTTCTTCCTTCCTTAAAGGAGAAGAAGTAGGTTTCCCTTTCCTAGAGAAGTAGATATGCTCACAGCAGATGAGCTAATCTACTGTGTTTATATCTTTATTTATCTGATTTTCATCTAGTGACTAGGATAAAAGTTGGAGATCAACTTTATCCCTGCTGAAATTCTTGGACAGGCTGATGAAATCACACCTGCAGATAAAAGTATCCGATGTACTCATACAGTGTATACAAGCAGCTTTCAGTACCTCAGTTCTGCAGCTGCAACGTTGTCCTTGCCCCAGCCTGAACATACCACCAGTGACTGTGGAAGGGCTGCCTTCTGAGCCAACAAGCTGCAGAAATAGCTGCGACTGCAGCAAACACTGGGCTTTGCTAAACTGTCTTTGATGCTGGAGAAAAGGCTGAAGCAGAGTCTGACTATCTTTTAGGGTACACTGATTTTACAGAATGGATGTTTGGGGAAACTTCAGTTGTTAGACTTAGCAGTATACTCTTCTGAACCACCGAGTTTTGACAGCACAGAACCCAGTGCATTGGGGCGTAGACGCTCTTAGCTGGAGGACGGTCTCGACATCGCAGCCTCCTTAAACTTACTGAGTATCTCTCCCTTTTTTTACACATAAAAAGAGGTGGATCTCTCCTTTCAAGATCAGATTAGCTGTCAGTAAGGTATGTTTGCATTGTGTTTTTCAGACAAAAATGAGCAAGCTCTGCTCCACCTTCCAATGCACCTCGTAGCCACATGGATCTAGTGAGTGGCTCTACTAAATGCTCTGTTAACAGCAGGCAAAAAAGCCTTTAACAAGACCAGGCATACTGAATTTGGCTCAACAGTACGTTAATGCAGCTAACCAGTTTTTGCTTGGTTTGGAACATGGGCTAAGTGGCATGGATAATGTTTATCTACAGAAGACTACAAAAACTGTACTCAGCCTCAGCATTGCCCCAGGGTTTCAAGTTCCTTTGGTTATTCACAATTGTATGTAAATTCTTCCAAGTCACTGCTTTCCAAAATGCAGTTTTCTCCTCTCCCTTACCAAGATACTGTACCATCCCCATCATATATGTATCTTCTGTATCATGTAAGTGATGTATATTATACTTATCTGAACCAAAACATGATAATTTCCACCCAAATTCTAAAGCAATCTGGTTGCTCCAAGTAGGTGCATTACTATTTACAGTTGCATCAATATTGAGGTAATCTGTAATTGTTATAGACACTGTAAAATATTGTCTTCCAGTTCTTGAAAAAAGGTCTAATAGCCCGTCCATGTAGGAAAATTCATCCGTTTGATTATTATCATCATTTACAGTTACCATTTGAGATCTAACAGCCCATGTTTAATTTTTATTAGTTATATTGATTTTTTTGATATTAAACTTTATATCAGAAATTTAGCCTTTAGCTTTGTTGCTGCAAAAGGCTAAGTTATTTCCAAAAGGTTTATAATTCAGCCCTCTCACCCTCCCCCACAAAAAACCTCATCACATCCGCTGCTGTTTTAGGATGACGTAACCAAACCCTGTCATATCTTTAACATGTTTTTATTCCAGATGATGTGAGGCTTATTAGATGATGTGAGCTACACTACTGAAAACGTTCAAGAAATTCTACTGTTATTTTAGATATCATTCAATATTAATCTCTTTCACATTTTTTATCCTCAATTAATGTCTCTAAATGCATTTGCTTTCTTTTCAGGGGACGACTGGAGTGTCCCCTTTCCCTTTCCTCTGTCTAGTGCCACTGCAAATCCTTTCATCTTCTTCACATACATGGCCAAAAACGGCCAAGTTAAGGTTGTTTGACTAACTTTGTTACATTGACTACTTGTACTGTGGGTTTTATGGCACAGACCTTCTTCCTCCCCTCTCCCTCCCATTCCCTTTTGATCTAATTTTCTCAGCAGCCAAGAAAGACAGCAAACTGGGGGACAGAGTGGTGCCCCAGGGGTGTTCTGCTGCCCTCCTTCTCTGGCTCCTCTGATCTGCTCACTAAGTCTCTTTAACCCATTTGTCTTTATAAATGGAACGCATAGTTGACACCAGTTAGTATTTATTATAAAAATAAGTTTCTGCAGCTATTTCTGAACGTGTTTCAAATATGATTTTGATAAAAGCTCCTAGTTTGCAAGATGACTGCTGTGGCCAATAGAGAAAGTGATGCCTCATCTATAAAATGGGAATAATGACTCTCTGTTCCCTTCTAAATGTTGTGAAGTATACAGACGAAAGTGTTATATAGGGCCTAAGTTCCTATTTTAAAACATCCTTGAAATACCGCTTGCTTGCAAAGAAACAAAGGTTACATGTTTCAAAAGTTTGCACAGTAAGTACTTACAAGCTGCACGTTGTTTTTCATTACCAATGATTTGTTTTCTTGCAGAACAACTTCTTGTAAAATATTAAACACAGTCAAAGTGACTAATGCACTTTTTTAATCTAAGAATTGCTCAATTAAAAATTTACGAGGCACGCAATTTTGATTTCTGCCGACAATAGTCAAAACTTGTGTATAAAGATTAATTACTTATAAAGTAAAACACATCTTTTTAAAACTGGCATTAAATTTGCATCTGCACTGTATATTGGATTTTATTCTACTCTCTTTAGGTAAAGGACTTTTGGTGCACTTATGGTAGAGTTTTAAACTGCTGATGCAAATGCACTGTATGGGTTGACTATTGCTTGAACTAGGTAAAACCCAGAAGCAAACAATATTTTGTGCTTCTGACTCTTTTACATTATATTCTATGTATATCTAACTTAACAATATGAAAAAATATACTGAATGTTGACATTATATTATACTATTGTGAATTATTATCTCATACATCAAAACGTATTCATATTTGACATAAATGTGAACAACTTTGTTCAAGTCTTCTTTCAAAACAGTCACTTTTTAATGACATTTTAATATTTTGTATTGGCTATATTTAGTTGAGGTTGCCACTGACAGAAAATATTTATTTCCTTTACTATACCAAGACTGCCCTCTAGAGTCTTATTGGGCCAAATTAATCTCTGGTGTAACTCCTCTCTCTCCAGATTAGCATTACAATTCACATGGTTTTACAGGCCTCATTATGTAGATCTCTAATCTGAATGATACAATGCTCACGTGGAAAAGTGGATAATACAGTTTCCAGACAAAGATGGAAATTTTTTTCACTTACCATGAGCTCTGATAATTCATTACAAAAAAATTATTTGTTGCCCCTTAACGACATGTATTTAGCATTCCAACTGAGTCTTAAAAGATGAGGAGAAACAGGAAAAAAAGAACAATTTTTGTTTCTTACCCAAACCACATGAGAGATGTACGTGTCCACAGAGGATACCGGGGGAATATGCAAGCAGGATAACTGAATTAGGTTGGAAGTTGTTCTTTCTTTCTTTCCAAGTGTTAAAAAGCAGCACTTCTCCCTGCTGAGGGTTGGATTGTGCTTCCAGTGAAGTCAATGGCAAACCTTAAGTAATCAGGGAAACAGAATTACTGCGCTGATTGCCAGGAGCTTTTTTCTTCAGTTGTTAAATTAATAATGGGTATCTGGTTCAATAAACAGTTGTGTTTCCCATTAAATTGTAGCAGCAGTGCTGCTTCTTATTACTTAAGAATATATTATGCACAAAAAAAGTAGGGGAAGGAGGACAAATGTGAAGTAAACAGACTCACTTGATACCATTTTCAAGGGCGCCATGCAATGAAAGAAATGAGCACACACTTCAAGCCCTGCACCAACCTAGGTCGTTTGAAATGGCTTGATTTTCAGCTTGAAAGAATTTAATTTACCAATCGCAAAATAAAATTTCTTTTTCTTTCCTCAAAGAACTGAATTCTCACTTTTTTTTTCGTGTTTCACAGCTCCCAGTAGGAATGGCTGATTCAAATTAGGTTATGCTTTGCATTTATTAAATATTCCAAGGTAAATCTAGGATAAATAGCCCAAACAACTTAACTGAAAGTGGCTTCATCTAGCTAAAGCCAAAAGAATTTGGCTGTACATTGGTATTTCCAGCAGATGCACACGCACCTGAAATACGGCTTTTATTGAATTTATTAGAATCTGCATTTATTCCATAAGGTTTTCCTTTATTCTGAAGGAACAGGAAGTAACAAAAAATCAATTTGGATCACAATGACTGGCCCAGAGCTAGTAATTGATTTTTTTCACTACAATTTTGTTGAGAATAAACACCAATTACGTTATCATTTTGTATGGTATGGTCCTAAGTTCTAGTAATGTAATTTAGCAGAGACATCTGAGCCCGTTCTCTTGTGAGCGCTAGTGCACAGATATTTTGGGTCGCTCTGACGGTACATGAAGAGTCAGAGGCAATCATTCTGGATGTCTAATCCTGATTTCACCCTTTGAGAGCAGGGCACATAGGGGACACAGAACATACAAAGGCCGTTACTTTATTTGGGGAGGTTATACCCCTTACCTTGGAAGTATTTCATGAGTATAATGTAATGCAACAAATGATAAACATTATATTACACAGTACAGATCTAAATTTACAAAGTCACCTACCAAATAAACTACATTTTTTGCGTCTAAAAACAATGTCTGGAGTTTTAATCCAAGGGCCGTCATAATCAGCAGAAATCTTTCCACTGATGTGAGTTGGCTTCTTACCCGTTTCCCCTTACCCTCCGTATACTACAGATGGCAGAAATCAGTCTAGATCTTCTCCTATATCTACACAATCTAATAATCACAGGTCACTCAATGAAGGATCTGAAAGCCTCATACATCTCCCTGCTGCTCCTGGGAACCAGCTGGATATCACTTCTTTCAGCGCCTTCCCTGGCAGTAACGGAGAGATCTGCTACTTTTCTCACTGTCTTTTCTAAATAGAACTGGGTTTCCTATTACTCTGTTTAGTTTGGATACCCTTTTTCTTACTATTCCTTGGAAGTATTTGCAGTGGTTCCCAACATAAAGATATGCTTTTATCTTTTAGGCAGTATTGATTTTTTTAATCTTCTAATTTTGTTGTCTTCAGGATGGCTGTTTTTCACTATTAGGCCATTAAAGCAGAAGCACAGAGGAAAGGAGAGGCAATTTAAGAAAAAAAATCTCACCATTGATTTTGCTGCAAGTTACAACAGACATTTTTTCCCCTCTTACTCCATCACAACCACGATTTCACAAATAGCATATCATATGGATTCAGGTGATAAACCGAGCAGTTGGTACACTGGCACTGTTTAGGTGAGAGGCTTTCTATATAACCACCTGCTCTGATAGGTACATGAAGGATTTGATCCAGAGATTTCTAGTTCACTGAAGAGCATCCTAGCCGTTAGCCCCCCTTACAGTTTGAGGTGCTGCTTTCCCAGTTTCTCCAGTCGAAGCAGTTTCATTTTGTGTGAAGTCACTGTGAAAAGGAGTAAGCAAGTGACAATGACCCCATTGCTTGGAGGGTGCTTGCCTGGAGAGTTGTATAAATATGTGATTATTTTAGACGAGGAAATACCGTAAAGAGGGGAGATCAAGAATTTTTCCACTCTCTGTTTTTCAAATAAGCCATATCTTAGTGATTAGGGCACTGTTTAAGAGTAAGACTTGTCTGTACTCAGCTTGAAAGGGTATTGTATGCATACAACCAGTTACCCAAGCGAACAACTGACCCGCTGCAGATGGGTCCAACAGGAGTTTCAGCTGCTCTGACTTGGGCTCAGTACAGAACTGGCAGTACATTCCTCCTCTCCGTCCTTGCACTGCCGCTAATGCAACCAGGTGAACAGCTCATTCATTTAGCTGATCCAGCTGACACCCCCCCCAGAAAAAAAAAAAAGGCTCAGTTTTGGGCAGATCAACTTGCAGAAAAAGATAACCTCTGCATGCACAAAGAGGAAGGGGATGCATGGCCTAAGGCTGAGGTGGAGAGAAGTCCAGTAGCCTTAAGAGACCTCAGCCTTAGTAGAACAGCACCCTGAAATATCATGAGCAAATTCATCGGCCAATAGTTGCTAAAAGAGGTGGTCTTGTCGCTGCTCTTCTTTGCCTACAGTGTTTCATATTCCTGTATTTAAATACTGAAACAAGTAACTTGCCTTTGAAAGTACCTGTCATTCAGATGTTCTCAAAGACATACTTGGACTGTGCTAACAATTTAACCAAGTTCAGCTAGAAATTAAACTACAAATGTGATATATATGGACAAATATCACCAAAATACTTTCCGAATGGGAAAATCACACATCATATCTGCCCCCCTCATCTTTTCCAGTACTAGCGTTATTAGAGTTACTACCATTTCTTCAAGAAGAAGATATATGAAAAGGAAAATAACTTGAATACAAGCAATAAAATCAAAGTTAAATATTCTAATAAAATTTCTTCTTTTTTGTACTCTCATTCTCCTTCCACAATACCTTATGTTTAACCAAACATAGGTTTGTTTTTACATCTTCGCATTACCAAAATCATTATCTTCCCTTAATATCCATTACATGTACAAGAACTATATTATCTCTTTTGGAAGGAAAACTTCTTCCCCTCAGTTTTTTGCGATTGCCTCTGTCAAATTCCACTCCAGCTCTCACTGATCTTTGTTTTGACCGTTTCCAAATTTTATTTCCAAATTTACATTCCAGTAGTGTGAGAGAGGAAGTATCCTCTCTCTCAATATGAGACATATAAGAATATACCATTATAAAGGTATCATAGTATTAAAGTCAGTACACAAGGACACTAGGCTTGTGTGTGTGCGTGTGTGTGTGTGTCCATGTGTAGATGCATTCATGTTAACAGACATCCATGCAGCTAAACTAGAGGAGGAAAGAGTTGGTGATTTTTTTCCCAACACTTTTGATTTCTTCCTATTGAAGATATGATGTTTCTTCTAGAATGTAAAACAACAATGCCCTAGTTATTCAAAAGTCAGTTCTGAATGGCCAAGGTTGGAAGGAACTTTTAAAGATTTTCTAGTCCAACTGCCCCTGCTCAAGCAGGGTCCTCTAGAGCATATTGCCCAGGATTGCATCCAGGTGGCTTTTGAGTATCTCCAGGGAAGGAGACTCCACTACCTCTCTGGGCAACCTGTTCCAGTGCTCTGTCACCCTCACAGTAAAAGTTTTTTCTTATGTTCAGATGAAACTTCCTGTGTTTCAGTTTGTGCCCGTTGCCTCTCGTCCTGTCCCCAGGCACCACTGAGAAAAGCCTGGCCCCGTCCTCTCAACACCTTCCCTTCAGATACCTATACACATTGATCAGATCCCCTCTCAGTTTTCTCTTCTCCAGGCTGAGCAGGCCCAGCTCTCGCAGCCTTCCTTCACAGCAGAGATGCTCCAGTCCCCTCATCATCTTTGTAGCCCTCCGCTGGACCCTCTCCAGTAGTGCCATGCGAGCCCAGAATTGGACAGAGTCCTCCAGATGTGGCCTCCCCAGGGCTGAGGAGAGGGGCAGGATCACCTCCCTC